CCCCGCCCCTCTTCTGCCGGCTCCCAGAAACCTGCCTTGCTACTTCCTTTCTGTGGCGCCGCGCCCCCAAAGCCTGCCCTCCTGCAGGAGGCCCCCATTCTGCCAACAGCCAGCAACCCCTCCGCCCAAGCTCCCAAGGGCTACACGAAGGGCTGCTCCTTTCCCGCCCTCCCCCAGCATCATCACCTCCATTGCCACCTCAATCTGCTCAGTACAGCCTATCCTACTTCCTGCCCACCCCCACCCCCCAATCCGGTCAGTGTCCTGTTCTCCCATTCGCTGTCCAGGGCAGCCCCGGCCAGAGCTCTGAGCCCTCCTTGAGGAGGGAGGTGCTGCCAGCCAGAGCTCAGTCCTCAAGCCATTTCTCCATTTCTGGACACCCCCTACTATCCAGGCCATTCACACACACAGTAGGCTTCCTCAAAGCCACCCTCACCTGGGACACCAGCCACCCCCATTCCATTTCTGTGCAAATGCACAATAGCACAATACGAACTTCGGATTGCTAGAGCTTCTTCCAGGTGTTCAGGGCTTCCTTTGTCTCTCCCACTCCAGGCACCTCCACCTGAGCCGTTCCCGTGCCATTCCCAGAGCCTCTCTCTCAGGCCAGTGGAGACTTCTCAGTCACTAATCTCCAGGGCCATGGACACCCTTGTTCCCTTGAATCTGTGGTTAGAAGGCCCTGCTCCTTTCTCAAGCTCAACCCCTCTCTCTTGACTTTCCTGCCGCTGTACCTTCCAGGGCCTGCTCCCACCCTCTGCCAGATACATGATAGGTGCTTAGCATGGTCCTCCTAAGGAACAAATAAATCACTGATTGAATAGGCTAGTCAATGGTGAACTCATCCACTCTCTTCAAGAAGCCTTCCACCACCCATTAGAGTAGCTTCCCAAACCCCTTCCTTAGACTGCACCTGTTGGTTAAGCTCGAGGAACCCATTTTTGGTCATCTGCAGGTACCTCCACTTGGACACCTTGTTATGGCCCAGTTGCATCATGCACCCCAAGCTTCTCACATTCCAACCAGGCACCCCCAACCTTTCTGCTGTCTGGAACTTCCTGGGGAAACTCACATTCCTCCTCTCTCTTCTTACTTGCCTCCAGGGCAATCTGCCTCCCCCACTGCTCCCTACACCTTCAATCCTGCAGGATACTGTACTGTACTGACACAGCACCACAGCTCAGCAAATCACTGCACCCCAGCTGTCCCTCTTGTATCCACTGATCTCTCCAATAAATATGGAACCAGATCTTATTCTTTGGAGGCCACTCCTCCCAGCCAGTCCAGTCCAGTGCTGGGTGCATAGTAGGCATCTAGTAATCCTATGCTCAAAGCATTGCTTTCATAAGCAGGAGGGCCAATCCTCCCTGTCCACAGTCACTGCTGTGGTCTCGCCACCCACACATCTGTCCAGGCATCTGCATGTGACCCCTACTCACTTTGAGCAAGCAGCTTGGCCACCATGTCCTGACTGCCTGCCTGGGCCTCCTGTGTCTTGGTCGCCAGGCGGCGGTTTGCAGATTCCAATCTCTCTGTTTCAAATGAAGAAAAAAACATTTTCAGGAAAGATGTTTGAGTATCAGGTGAAACTACCTGCCCGGGTGTCCCTTGGGATCCTGTCTGTGGGGCTGTGCTGTCCAAACCGGGGATGGGCTGATAGGGAAGCCCCCAGGAGTGCTGAGGGCCAAATGAGGAGAGAGCACTGAGCCACATAGATGGGGGCCCCACAAGAGGCTCCAAGGCATAGAAGAGAGACAAACATCTTCTGTCCAGGTGGCCCCCTACGAGTTGCAGCCTGGTTCCCTCCAAGCCAATTTACACTTATTTTTGCAGACAGCAGAGATTCTGAATGTCTCCCTGGAACAGAGGGATCAAGCCCTCCAGAGACGCTCCCCACCCCCTCTACCTGGGTGACCTCCCTCACCTCTGAGATCCCTGTTGAAGTCCTGCAGCCTCCTCATTTCACTGTCCATTTTGTTCCGCATGGTCTTCTCCAGGGCCTCCCGCTTGGAAGAGGCTCTGGTCAGGCTCTCGTGGGCCTCAGAGAGCCGCTGGATTTCACTTTCCAGCTGCAAGAAAGAGGCAGACAGAAGAGCTGAAGGAAGGGGAGAGATCCCTGCGAGTGGGTAGCAATCAAGTTCCCCTCCACAGGCCCAGGCTGCTCTGCTACTCTCCATCAGGAAGGGTGAGAGAGGAGAGAATAAAAAGCAACAGCAAAAAATCCAGGTGGCTACAGTGGGATGGTCAGAAGCTTGTGGACTCCAGATATGAATCAGACTACTAGAACCAGCAAGCGAGGGTCCCATCAATTGTGCCAAGGTCCAGATGCTGAGTGAACCCAGGGCCAGGTATTCTTGAAGTGGCTGCCTTAAGTGACTTAACACAGCTTTCCTGCACCCAACATCCAGAAAGATGCATTTTACTTTTGTCCAGTTCCTACTGAGAATCTGAGCACAGTGGACCAGGAGGGGGCACAAAAAGACTCCAGCCATGTCCCGGGGTTTGAGCTATCTCGGACACCACAGGACAGTCACAGGAGGCCTGAGGCCACCTGTCAAAGCTGAATGCACAGCTGGTAAACCTTCACTGAGGAACAGAGCACCAGACCCCAGCCTGAACTGCCTCTGCCTGGGAGTATTTCCACCTCTAGCCATCACCATCCACTGCAGAGGGCCAGCCTACCCCCACTGCCCCTCCCACTTGGCTGCTGGCAGGTTCTGCACGTGCTCCGAGCTGGCCTGTGATTCTAATAAGTAGCTCGTTTTTTCCAAAAGGAGGGGCTTTCTTTTTGGCCAGGGCCAGCCTAGAACAGACTTACTGTTGTGTGGGGGACACAAAGGGCTCTCTGTGGGAGGTGTCCGCAGGAGGGGGTGTGTGCAGGGGAAGGGTGTGCAGGGAGCTGGTGAATGGGCTCTTTCTAATCACTACTGGCCAGCAACTGCTCACACTCCAGGCCTGCTCTGCCAGCCTTGCGGCTGCTCCCCAGCTGTCTAGAGTTGGCGAGGGAGGGCATACGAAGCATGAGGGGGTGGGGGCCAGCTCCCCCTCACCCCTCTGAGGCCCCAGCAAGGCCTACCTTCTCAATGCGGCCAGCCTTCTCTGCTGAGCTCTCCAGCTCCCTCTGCAGCCTCTCGTTGTCCCTCTGCAGCCTGGCATTCTCCCTCAGCACAGTCTCCATCTGGGCCAGGTGGGCGCTGCCTGAGGTGGCTGAGGACGCCTGGCTGCTTGCTGGCCCCTCCACTTCAGGTGGACTGAGGGAGCCTAGGGTGCCATGGCTGAGAGCAGCTGGATGTGGTGGCAGGGGGTGCTCCTGGGCCGGCTGTAGGTACTGGTACTGCTGTTGTTGCTGGAGGAACACAGGGGGCACCTGGGCCTGCAGGATCCTGGGGAACAGAAGAGACAGTGTTCAGAGACTGTATAGACCCCCATGGTTCCCACCGCTGAGCAACCCTGAGTGGGCCCAGCCCTCCTGGCATAATGGAGGAGGCCTTTTCCACAGTGTCTACCTAAGACCCTCAAGGGCCAAGGGAATGGGGCTAGAGGGGGTTAACATCAGGATGCTTATTTCATGCCCAGCCTTACTGTGGCCAAGGCCCTGGGGATCAGCCTGAGTAGTCCTGGTCCTTGTAAGCAACCAGTACTTAAATAAGGCATCTTAAACAAGGCACACTTGACCTTTCTAATCCATACAAGGTTCTTTTTGGGTCTGGAGGCCACGTCAATCATGACTTGAGCACACAGTCTTCCAGGCCCCTGGGCCACTTGGTGGCTGAGCCTCAGCAGCTACCCCTCTGTCTGTTATAAGCCTCTTACACTAGCACCTGCCAGTGTAGCACATCCACGTTTTCTCCCTCCTATTTTGGGTCCCATCACCCTTCACAGAAACATTTTTAGAATACTGTGGCTAAGGGCAGAGTGGTGAGATAGATGTCAGGGTAAGAGTCTGAGCTCCAAAGTCTGACAAAACAGGCATTCAAATCCCCACGGTGCCAGCATGCCTCAACTAAATCATGAGGGTGAGGATCTCCAGCCTCACGGGGCTCACCAGGCAACACAAAGCCTGGCAAGTGCTGGGCCTACAGCACATGATCCACAATGGTGGCGCATCCTCTACCTCTCCTACTGACAACTGCAGCCTATTGTCTTCGTAGAGTAAATGTAACCCACACACTAGATGGGGCCACCTCTGGACTACCGCAATACCCTGAGTTTAGGGACAATGTTCTACTGGCCTCTAGCAATGGTGCAGCATTCTCCTCAGAACCCCGTGGAGGTGGGGGTGGAAGCTGGTCACAGAGACTTGCTGGGGCCTTGTGACTCCAGGTATAAAAGAACAGACTTCCTCAGTTACACCAGGAATTTTCCAGGCCCCAGAAGCTACATGAGAGCTGAATTCCACTTCTGGGTCCATCCCCTCAGCACTCATGCCCTTCCTCCCCGGCTCCTCTTAGGACCCTAGGCTGAAAGAAAAGTCCCTGCCCCTAGTTCCCAACGATTAAGCCTTCTCTGATCAGCTGAAACGAAAGGACGGGCAGATCTGCTTCTCTTACTGCCTAAGCTAGAGCTCCTAGTGAGAGCTGAGCAGAGGGTCTCCACTGGAATGTCCAAACTCTCCCTGCACTGCTAAATGTGGCATTCTCAGGGTTGCTTCACAAACTTTCTTCCCCCTGCACTGGGCTAGGCAGACACAACTGGAATTCTTTGAGGATGACTTAGCTCTGAGGAAGAATAGTCTCCTTTCCCTTCACACTTGCTCTCCGGCCCCCCCCTCCCCGTGTTGCCCCTCCCCCTCCCTCCCTTTTTTGTTCTCCTGCGGTCTACTTCCTTTCCACGATATTATCTTTTCCTGACAGGGCTCAATAAGGCTGCTCCAAAACTAGAAACCCACGACTCAGCTTCCGAAACTCTCCCTGACCAAGCCCTGAGAAAGGAGATAAGATGGGGACGCGAGAGGTGGAGGCTGGAGAAAACCCATAGGGTTCCGTCCTCTACTTCCCCCATACCAACACCATGGCGTCACTCATTTCTCGAGAGCAAGGAAAGGCATCTATCCCAGGAAAAGACCAAGCGGTGGGAAAGTGGGTGACTAAATGAAGACTCAGCAAGAATGAAGAGAACAAGACTTCGACCTTGAGGCTCCAGAGGAAAGGAGTCTGCAGATTCAGGGGTTTCCTGGACCACCATCGGCGGGGGAGATGCAGAGTGTGTGACATGAAGGGTGTGTGTCAGCTTCTCAGAAGGTGCTGGGCCAAGTCAGAAGCCTGGGGCAGAGCCTCATTTCTAGGAACCAGTATTTCTGCAAGCTGGGCTTTCTGCCTCCTCCTGGTCTCCTGCTTCCATTCTTGCCCCTTAGAATCCATTCCCTACATGCAGCCTGAGGGGCCCTCTTAAAGAAGTAAGCCAAATCACATCCTCTAAAGGCTTCAGAATCAAGTTCTACATCCCCCAGCAGCCCTTTCCAAGGCTCCACAGAAAGGGGCTTGCCCGGACCCCATGTCCTCTCCTGCTACAGGCTCCAGCCACCTGGAGCATGTGGGAAAACATGAAAGGAAATGAATGGTAGTGACAGGGCAGCTCCTGCCCTGGTGTAGGACACAGAGAGGTCTTTAAGGAGGCCATCTGGTCCTTCCTGCCTCCAGTTAGGAATGCCCTCCATTAATCACAGAAAGCAAACTGTCCACTTGGTCTTAAGAGTCTCCAGAGAAGGAGGTCCCACTTTCTTGCCACTTAGCTTGGAAACAGTTTGGCGATGATTCCCAACCCTTGTCTTTAGCAAGTTCTTTTGAAAACCTGACCTTTAACCCCCTGCTGTAACTTGTACCCTCTGGGAACCTTAGTTATTTGACCGCTACAGCTAATTACACAATGGTATCCATCTCCGAATTAAAGCAAAAGATGCCACTAAGTTCTCATGTGACCTTGGCTAAGTCCTACTTTCCTCCAGGCATCAGCCCCTCCTTCTTGGAAAGGAGGCAGGTATCAACAGCCTTCCTCTGGGGCTGGCCAGCCCTGACACAAGGTGCTGCTATCTGGAGGCTCTCCACCCTGGGGAGAACTACACTGGAAGAAGGTCAAGAGCTTGAAAGAGCAGGGTGGGCAGTTACCTGACTTCAGCATGCTGGAAGTGTGGGCTCCCGCGGGTGCGGTACCGTGGGTCGGTGACAGCAGTGGCGGTCTCATGAGCCAGCACAACGTGTGGGTACTGAGGCGGAGGTCCACGGGGCTCTGGGCCCTCGGCAGGAGGGCCTCTGGGTGGGGGCCCCTGCTGATTGCGGGCCAGCTGCGGGAAGCTGTGGGAGGAGCTCATGTGGCTGGGGGCCCGGGCACCATTCCTCTCCAGGGACAGCTGCAGGAGCCGTTCACTCAGGGAGCGCACGTGCCCATGCCTCAGCTCCCGCAGCGCCTCATCCTGGCTCCGATTGCCTCCGGAGGCCCCTCGGGGATCCCGGTCCCCTACGTGTGGCCGGGGCCCTGCCTGCTGGGCCGCATAGTACTGCGAATGGGCTTTAGCTTCTTCATAGGTGGGTAGCTCCTCACCCTTGCTGGGCTGTGCGCACAGCCGGTAGAGGGTGTTCTCTGCCAGGTGGGTCTCACCGCCCTGGTGCTCCTGGCCCTGGGGCTCCTGCCTTGTGGCCTGCTGTAGCACCTGAGTGTCCTCGGGTGCCAAGAGCTCCACAGAGGCCTGGGGGCTCCCTGTGCTCCCAGCCCCAGCCCCACCCCGCAGGGCCTGCTGTTGGATGGCCAGCAGTGTGCGTGTCTCAGTCAGGTTGCCATAGCGCAGCTGCTCCTGGATGAGGCGGTGCAGGACTGTCCCCGAGGAGTCTTCCAGAGTCCTCATGCTTCCTTGGCTTGCACACCCCTGCCTGAACAGTGGCCGGTGGCACCTGGCCCTAGGGCACCCGAGAGAAGAGAAAGAAGAGCAATCAGTGGGAGTACCTGGGAGAGGAACAGGAGGACTTTCCATTACACTCTGGCCCAAAGCAGAATGGCAAAGAGCAAGGCTATGGAGGGTCACGCAAGGCTGGGTTCAACTGCCAATGCTGCCGCCTACTGATTAAGGCAAGTTGCCTAACCTCTGAGCCTCCGTTTCTTCATCAGAAAAATGTAAGGAATAATGCCTGCTCATGGAGTTGAAAATTAAATGAGGCAATGGCTGCTGAGCTCCTGGTGCGCTGTGAATCCTTAGCAAAGGGTTGCCATACCATCATATTCACACTTAGTATGGAGGCATAGCTGCATCTTTACTATGTCTAAAGAAAAAGACACAGTAACCTAGTGGGTAATCAATCACCCAGGAACCCCAGCCTCCTGCAGTCTGCTTCCCATTGAAAAGGCTGATGAGAGACTCCAGAGCAGGAATAGTTCAGCCATAACCACTGAGCAGGCCAGTCTAGGGATGGACAGGGGCCCAGTTTATTGGCAGGTGGTAAAGAACGAGTCCAGCCTAGTAAAAGCCTTGGGCAAACTGCCCCTAGCTCCCTCTAGAATGCTGCATGCCTAAGCCCTAGTCTTAGCAGTTAACTCACCACCCTTTACTATGCTGAGCCCTCCCTGTCATGGGATGACCTCGGCAGTTACTCTGCAAGGTGAACAGGAGAAAGGAAAAAATGCTGGTTTGCTGAATATGGGATGAAAGAAGAGAAGCTACAGTAGGACCATGGTTTTGTGAACTGAGGCAAAAAGGTGCCACTCATCCAGGTGTGCAGGTAAGTCACACAGTCTGTGTGCTGACAGCAACCGCATGGATGCCCCAGGAAAAAGAAAGGGTAGCACCCTGTCTTTGATTTTATGACCGTCCCCCTTACACACAGACACACGCACTTGCTACATCGGAAAAGACCTCAACGGTCCTATGCCACATAGGGGATGGGCACTCAGCATTTTGATACCAGTAACACCCATTTGAGCCAATTGGAGACGTAAGCGAGCAAGGGAGAGGCTCTTGGTTGCAGGGACCTGGGGCTGGGGCCTGGAAGCCTCAAGTGCAGGGAGATCCTATCTCCTGAGGAAGGTATTCTCTTCTGAGCTTGGGCTCTCAGTGGCTCATGTCCTGGAAGACCGCCCACCTCACCTGGGTTCCTTCCCACAGCCTCCTCCAACACAAACCTCCAAACTAGATTCAGGGAAAACCAAACAAAACCACATCTCCATAGGTCCTTGTGTATGGGGGAAGGGGAGCAGGCAGAATGTGGCCCCGCCTCCGCCACAGAACTAGCCCCAGTGCCCTGCTGCTATTTGGGCTTGGTAGGTTGGCAGAGCAGCCATTCCCAATCCGCTCCTTCCTCCTGGCTGCCCAGAAATGAGGAGAGGGAGTGGAGTCTGGAAGGCATCTCTGTACCCATCCTTCTTGGCACCCCACCATGCGGCCCCTTCTCCCTACACACAGGAGGCTGGAGATGCAAGACTCCAGAGTTACCAGAGGCAAACCAAACTGGAATCAATTCGCCCCAAGGTTTCATCTGCGGGGCATTTCCTAAAGTAATCAGTCTGGGCTGAAACCTGCTGAGAAAGACCGGGGAATGCAGAGCTTTCTGGACAGATTCCTGGTCTCCTCTCCGCCAACGGTGTGCCTGGGAGCAGGGAACACCTCCGGGGCCTCTCATCCGAATCTGTCCCCGTCAGACGCCTCAGATGCACATCCCTTCAGCTGAGGCCTTACTAAAATCTGCGACCACGACCCGGGCCGTGCACCTTTGCTGCACCAGAGCTCCTGGTTCTCTGAACCCCCACCCCCTTCCTAAGTAAGCACGTAACTCCGGCTCTCGCCGGGGCTCACGCTCGCCTAAGGAACCCAAGCGACGGTCCCTAAGTCAGATTGCACCCCAGCCAGGGATCCCGCCCTACCCAGACTCCAAGCCGACCCCGAACACCTGGAGGCCGCCGGTGCACCTAGAGCGAGCAGGGGAGGGTAGCCGGAGGCCCACGGAGTTCTTTAAGCGTCGCGGGTCCGCCTCCCTCCCAGCCTCCCGAGCCCTCTTTGTTTTCCAAATGCTCCAACGCTGACGTCACCGGGCTGGACGGCCGGCTGCATTCTTTCTAAGTGAGAGCCAGTCAGTGGCTCCAGAGAGGATTTTCCAAGGAAGACAAAGAGGAATTCTTGGACTAGTTGGGGGCAAAGACACCTGTAATCCCCACCTAACCAACCAGATCAGCCCCAGGGCCCTGCAACTTGAACTCTAAGCGGCGTCTCCTTCCCTTTTCTACGCCGCTCTCTCCAACCCACGGCCCAAAACACATGACACCGCTCTCCCCAGAAGCTGCCCCCTCCCCCAGCCCCAGGGGACCCCGCGCCAGCTAGAGCCCCCGACCCAGGCGCATTGCGGAGCGCCCTCAGCGAGGAATGGTCCCGGGTCGCCCCGGCGGCTTCCTGGAAAGGGCGCACTGCATCCCGAGGACGCTTAGAGCGCCGGCCTCCCGCTCCCAGAAAAGAGCGGGCTGCGCCGGGGCTCTGGCTTCGGCTGGACGCGTCTCTCCCGACCCGAGCGCTCCCCGAAGCGCCGAGCGGCCTTCCTTACCGCTGCGGCCCCCGGGTGCTTGGCGCAGTCAGACCCGACGACCCGGCCCAGCTCCGCTCAGCTCAGCTCGGCGGCGGAGGTGTGCACTAGGCGGTGGCGCCGACGCTCTGGCCGCTCGGGCCCCAGCGCGCAGCCCCAGGGTCGGCCCGCGCCGGAGGCGGCTGCTATGCCAGGAATGTGAGAGTTTCAGGTTCCCCCTCGGGATCAAAGCGAACCACAAATAACCTCTCAGCGCGCCGCCCTCCTCCGCCCTCCGCCTCCTCCGGCTCCCTCCTCCCGGCCCCCGCCTTCCTCCCGGGAGGCGGCGCTGCGGGCCAGGCGCCCGGCCTCAGAGCTCGGTTCCCGCGCGGCCCAGGGCCCTCCAGGACGCACTGCGCCTCTCCCCACGCCACAGCCACGCTTTGCCTTCAGGGCTGCGGGAGAAGAATTAATCCCCTCGGCCATTACCGCCCCCCAAATGCGTCCGGCCTTCCACTCACTCCTTCTTCCCTGTCGGCGGGACGACGCCGGGAGATGGACAATCTCGTGTCGCTGAGGGGTTCTGGGTGTTGCTGCGGGAGAGGGCTGGGGGGTGATGCGCGCGCGCGCGTGCGTGTGTCTGTATGTGTGTATTCAAGGGAAGGAAGACCGCAAAGGTGTCCACACCTGCCTGTCTTGGATCCTACCAGCCCCTCCTCCCCCGGCGAAGAGAAGACTGCTTTCCCTGGAGCCTCTTCCCTAACCCCCCACTGCTTTCACCGCCAGCGGCGACCTTTGAATTGCCCTGTTATTGTTTACAAACACCTTCGCCAGCTCTTTTAGGGCCTGTCTCCACAGGAAGTGTGAATCTGAGTTGAAAATCTTCTGGTTAATTTGATCCACCTAACCAACTGAATCACCCGCCGCCAGGCGCTCTGTCCAACTCTTCCGGAAAAAGGTAGTAATCAGCACCCCTAAATTTACGCAGTGCGCGCGGTGTGCCACCACCCGCTTTTCGCCTTGTCATCCCGGTCAGCCCTCCCAATCATCCTCCCGGTGAGTTCTGTTATCATCCCTGTGTCATAAGTGAGGAAACCAAGGCTCAGGGAGGTTAATTAGCTTGCCCCAGGGTCACAGAGAGCGTGAGTGATGAAGCCAGGCAACCTCTGGGCTGCTCAGTTTTTTTCTCAAAACCCTTCCGTTGCCACCGGAACCCGGGCTCCCTAGAGGTCCAAGACAGACTCTGGGAGCCCTCCTCTCTCCATCTGCTCTGTTTCAGTCTCAGCTTCATTCCCTCCTATACCCCTGCCAGTCAGGGCCCTCCCTGGTGTCCACCCATCTTGGTCCTGCTATTCTTGACCTGGATGAAGTTCTTTCCTCTGCCCCTAGGACGCTCCCTCCCCCACTTTTCCTGTAGGCTGGTCCATCTGTGCTGGCCTACACTTCTTCTTCAGACACACCCTACCCACCTGTCCTTACCCTCTCCCCAGCCGCCTTTCTCCTCTACTCCCACAGTTCTGTGTGCCACTCCTGAGCCCTGGCCACACTGGGCCTCCCAACATCTGCATGTGGGGGACTCAGGACCCTATCCCCTGGGAGAGTGAAGGCCGAGTCCTACCCCCAGTAAGGTCCTTTCCTCCCCTCACCATGGAGTTTACAAGCCCCAGATCTGCTGGAGAGACCAGGGACGAGAAAACGTTTTAAGTTCAAAGAGCTATTTACTAGCCAGGGACATTGTTAATATTTAATGAAGTCCTCCCCAAAGATGCGTGTCTGTGTGTGTGATTTACTCAGAAGCCAAATATTGCATTACAAATAATGATCGGCTCTGAGACAAATGAGAACATAAGTCTTTTGTGCCAAGCTAAGGGGTATTTGGCCATCCAAAGACCATCTCACAAAGAGAAGCTAAGGCCAATATGTCACTGTCCCAACTAGATACACTTGGTAAAAATTTTAGAACTAAAAAGGAAGGGAGAAGAAGAGGTCCCAGGTGGCCTTACCCCGTGGATGGAATTCTTCTTGGAGACACTTGGTGGAGGTATGAGAGTAGGCATGTGCCCTCTGGGATTGCAAAATCAGGTGAAAGGTCATATGGTAGAGTCCTATCTTTCAGGGACGTTTGGGGGGGGGGTACCTGACAAAATGCTTGACAAACATTCTTGAGATGGTTACAGAAAGGGGCCTGCTCAAGGCCGCTAGAGTCAAGCAAGTACATCTTGGAGTGGATAAACCTGCTGTAGACCTAAATGGGCCCCTGTGACTCCTCACCTCTATGTCCTAGAGCAACAGGAAGGGGGAGGGATCCCAAAACCTGGAGGGGGCTGAAATGTACACACATTTCTTCTTTCTTTTCCTCTTCCTCTTCTCCTTCTCCTCT